CCACTGCTGGCCCCCTGGATCGATGTCTCTCAGCAGGTTGCCCCGCAGATCGCTGATGCTTGCTGCTACCAGGATTGGGATCACTTGGGCTATGTCTCTTCTGTTTAGGCGGTGGCGCAGGCTGATCAGGTCCGAGCGACTTAGACTGGCTTGAAAAATTCGAAGAGGGAGACAGAACCATCGGTTGATCTGTCTTCGACTTGGGAGGAGGTGCCTTTGGCGTTGTCCCCGCAGGTTTCCCCGCCAGTAATCGCACGGGTCCTCTGCTAGGACTAAGGTCATCCAATCCACTGGGCCTTCTGAGTGCCACGCTCTTGATGTTGGCCTTTCTTTAGCCCAAATCATAAAAGTCAACTGCGATCCCTTGCGCAATTAAGGTTTTTTATAAAACCGATCCTTGGTTCGTGGTAAACGACTACCCTGCCAGGTTCGAGATTCATATGTTCTGTAATCCTGTCACCAGGCTCTATGATGGCGTCCACAACGTGAATGCAATCTGCGACAGAGGTGAGGTGCGCGTCCGTGTCGGAGAAGTCCGAGTCGGGCCCTGAAGGAGCCGCCGCCGCGGGATCTACTGCCCTGGCAAGGACTTGGTTACCTGCAGCTTCATCGTCCTCTGGCTGGTCGGCATCTTCCTGTTTGGACGAGGCGCCCCCCCCCCCCCCCCCCCCCCGCATGTCACTCGCGATTGAATGCCTTCAGGCGATGATTAAGGGCAAGATTCCCCCGGACCTCTTCGGCGCGAACTCTTTCATGGTCTTCAACCGGCTGATAATCCATTCTCGTCGACTGCTCTTCGCGCGGGCATTTGAGCGGATCTGCGACGCGGCCCCGACCGCCACCGCGAGGCCAGGCCCATGATGTGTTTCCCGAGCGAGGGCCGCTTGATGGGCGCCTCATGGGGCAGCTGGGCCCGCGGTCGGCATAATCGAAGCACATGCAGACAAATCGTCGGTGAGTCTTCCGCTCCTCGACGGCGGCCTCTTGAAGTCTCGCGCTCGAAGAGACTCCTGTGATCTGGCGCCCACCCACCCGTTGGAGCGAACGATCTTGCCTTTTTCGTCTCGCTCAACATTGCGAAGGGAATGCCAGTGGCGAGTTCTGCGCTCGGAACAACGCTGGCCCAACCAGTATTGCATTGTCTCGGGGGGGCACGCGCTGACGAGCTAACCCATGAGTGTTATAGTTGACAAGGCGCTGTACCTCGCCTGCTGGATACTCTTCTGGATGATCCCCCCTCTGAGGCGGGCGCCCCCGCGGGCGACCCCTCCTTGGTGGAGCGCCAGGTCTGCCACCCCTCCTGAGCGGGGCCCTTGGGGCCCTCGCATCAGGAGGGCGAGGGCGCCGATTGCCGCTAGAGCGATCACCGCTGGAGCGCGCGCGCGAACGCACGCGCGAATAGCTGCGGACGCGACCACGGCGTAGCAGACGTTGTCCTCAGCCCCCCACTCGTCGTCATCATCGTCCAAGCGATTCGCGCGCCTCCAGACTCGACGGCTCGCCGATCGCCCCTGGCGGCTCGGGGGCAGCCTCATGGCCGCAAATGTAAACTGATGTTCTTCGCTGTGTCAAAGTTCGCACTGGATGCGTTCTGACAGGCCGCCAGCATCTCGCGGGCTTCCCCGCAAAGGATCAACATCATATACCCCCATGTTTGTCGGGTTGCCGATTATCGGATGATAAACATCATTTGTTCCTCGCCCGTCGCAGGAATTATGGTTTCTGAATCCGCGGGCGCCCCCGCCATATCTTGATCTCTTTCGGCGGGCGCGCGGAAATTCCCGACAAATTCGACATGCGCAGGTTGCCCCGCGATGGGTATGTCTAACCAGTCTGCCAGATTGGTCTCATTGCATCCTCGAAGAGCTCGTCGGCGCAACTATCGAGGGACATGCCGGCACTCAATTATCCGGCAGCCATGAAGTTCACAACTGCAACTGAACTGTCGGCAGGGTCGGCCAATCGCGTTTCCCAATCGACAGTCTGTATGTCCGAGTCGGTTTGGGACAAATGGATCGACGGACCTTTGCCTCCCCCATCGCCCCGGGGGCATTCACGGCGAAACTGTTGTTTGCTACGGCAGATGTCACATTCCATTGTTGTGCCGTTAGCGTCTTTCGGGTTGCCCCGACGCCCCCTGCAATTTCCTGAAGTGCGCCTGCGATTCCTGCCTGCGCCCAAGAATAGTTCTTCAAATTGCGGTCCAATAAGAAATGCCAGGAAAACTGACATACCTCTGCCATGCACTCGCCGTCGTTTTCCCTCACCCTTGCCTCGACCCTTACCATTTCCCCTGAGTGCCCGTCGGATAGTACGTCGAACCTTACGAACTGGCTTCTTCATAAATCATCTCCATCTACGTTTATGCTTCTGATATCCTAGAAACAGCCATTGAGCCTTTTGCTCTGCCGTGAGATGCGCGGGCATGTCGGAGTAATCCAGGGCGTTCGCTTCGTCGTCTGATGACGCGTCGGCGTCGGTTGAAGAGTCGAAGTCGGACTCAGCGGGTTGCACTGTTGAGCCTACAAGGGCAGCGGTTTGCGTAGGAGCCGTCGTTGCCAGCGGCCCCTGATACCTGGCCAAGGAGTCTTGCGACCCCGCGGCCGAACCACCAGTTTGAGCTAATAGCGTGGTGGTTTCCGTTGGTTGTGGATCGTCGTTCCAAACGTTCGTAGCAGGTTGCCCTGCATTGGCTTCAGCATGGAAGGTCTCGGCACGGTGACCGCGGCTGAAGATACCACCAATACTGCCAGGGCTTCGCTCAGCGATGTGAGCATATGACCTCATGCGTTCAAGCAGAGTCAAATTGCCGCTAATTTCTCTGCATTTGGTGGTTAAGTGGCTGTAGAAGTCGCTGTGCACGCGACGTCCCCACACCTACGGCTCTGAACAGAAGAACCTCTAGAATTTGGAAGTTGGGGATTTTAAGGCCTGCCGCTTCAGCCTCATAGCGGGCTATCTCGAAGCGCGCCGATGTCTGGTCGATCCATTCCCCCGCATGGACTCGAAAGTCGATGAGAGCAGTACCCGAGTTGACTTGGCGGTCCTCTTCTCAGTTTTCAAACTTCGTGCTCAGGAAGAACATACTGTAGGTGGCACCATCAGTATGGCGGCCACCTATGTTGACGCCGAAATGGATGACTGCTGGGGGAACTCTCATGGCTATGGTCCGCGCGAGGCCTCCCAGACCACGCTGCAATGCTGCAGCTTGTTGACAGGGCGTCATATTGCCTGTGGCCACGTTGATCCAGGCGTGGGCCTCTCGAACGAATCCGCGGAAAGGTACTTGACCGGCCGGGTCCCAAGTGGGGGCCGGTTGTCCTTGCGTCGTCTCCGCCACGCATGTGTCCCACAGCGCACCCGATAGCAACCCATAGGGGCCGAAGATAGTAACACCAATCCAATGGCCCCGTAGGTCGTGGTCGGATGTGGTTGGATGAGGTTTGTGGTGTTTTGTTGTAAGCCTGTGTGGAGGTGGAGGCGGCACAATATCGTATCGCATGTTGCCATCCATGGTATATCCAAAGAAGTTTCCAAGTGGAGCAGTTGGGTGGATTTCAGGAGTGTAGTAGCGCAGGGATGTAGGAGTCGAGTACGAGGCGTCTGCGAGAGCAGAGGTAGCAGTGCAAGTGTCCTTGCGGTTGTGCGTAGTTATGTACACTCCTCCGCGCAGACCCACTGCACCTTGATGTTCCACCATGTCAGTCGTCCAGCAGATAGTGCCGTGGATGGTGAGGAGTAGAGCAAGAGCTGACCACCATAGGCCAGCTCCGCCACCAAATTTGAAGGGGGCCGGTAGGCCCCTGAGGCGAAGCACAGCTCCAGCTCTGTTGTACCGTAGTAACGATAGTCCCAGTAGTAGGAGATCTTCGCGGCAGCGACGGGCCATCTCAAGCGAAGGACGTTTTCGGTCTCGATGGCGAATCGTATGCCTCGCAATGAGGCACAGTCAAATATCGGCGGCCGGCCGCTTGAGCACAATCGGCCGCGGACAAACGCTCGTTACCTCTCGCCCTTGTCCCAGCTCACTTTAGAATGATATGCGTTACGCCGTCAGCGTGGTGACCACCAATAAGCACGCCAAAGTTAATGATTCCAGAGGGTACTCTCATGGCTATGGTCCTTGCGAGCCCTCCCAGTCCACGCTGTAATGCCGCGGCCTGTTGGGAGGGGGTCATGGCGCCTGTGCCCACATTGATCCAGGCGTGTACCTCGCGAACGAATTCGCGGAAAGGTACTTGACCGGCAGGGCCCCAGTGGGGGCCGGTAGTACGTGCGTCGTCCCCGCCACGCTACATGTGCCCAACAGCGCACCCGATAGCGACACATAGAAGGCCAAAAATGGTAATACCAATCCAATGGCCCCTGAGGTCGTGGTCGGAGGTTTGTGGTTGTGGGTTATGACGTGTTGTAGTTCACCTGCGTGGGGTTTGGAGGCGGCACAATGTGGCATCGCATCTTACCATGCATTGCGTCTTCAAAAAAGTTTCCAATTGTCATGTCAAGCGAATATGTTTTCGGTCTCAATGGCAAGTAGTGTGCCTCGCGACGAAACGCAGTCATATGTTGGCGGCCGGTCGCTTGAGCACAAACGGCCGCGGACAAACGCCCGCTATCTCTCGCCTTTGCCCCAGCCTCCTTTAGAGTGAGGGCCCCAAGACGGCCGCCGAGGCCCCCCAAAGCCCAAGAGTGGCCAAGGAGGGCCTAAGAGGGGACAAAGAAGGGAGATACGAACTGACATGTCGAGCCTTTCTCCCCAAGATGGCCCCAAGAGCCCCCCCGACGCCCCCGAGGCGCCCACAAGAGGCCCCAAGAGGCTCCCAAGGGGTCCCAAAGAAGCCCCAAAATGCCCCCAAGATGTCCCCAAGAGCCTTCTAGGCCGCTGAGAGGAATCCCACGAGCGCCTCAAATGCATTCAAGAAGCTCCTGACCCACGAGATGATGTCCTAGATCGTCACAAGCACTCGTTCATTCTGGGGTGTTGGCGGAATGGCGTAAGCCACTTGGATAGAAGGTGGCCAAGAACAGGGACGCCGCTGCCGACACTGTACGCAACAGGCCGATGCCCGCACGGACTTTGCGACTGATCCGCTGGTACGATCCCAGTCGCAGCGGGGCGATCCCCACCAGCCCCGCTCTGCGCGCGAGAGTCCAAACTTTGGCCTGAACCGCTTCAGGAAGCGCCGAGTCAGCGGAGCGGACTGTGAACATGCAGAGGAATCCGCTCCCAAGGGAACACGTGAGCAGAATTGCTCTATCACCTCCGGACAGCTCAGCCCCGCGGTAGCCGTTGTCGAGCCTTTTGACCTCCACGTTCATCGGCTGCTGGCAGGCAAGCAGAGCCCTGGCACAAGCCGACGCCTCCTGCATGTTGCGGCAATCGAAAGTGCAGGATAAAAGATCAATCAGGTCAGGCACGCCACGATGGCGGACAGCTCTAATCCTGCCACGAGCTTCTGGCAGCGGAAGCATGCGGATCGAAAAACCAGGGCCTCCCGCTGCATGGAGGCCACCCACAGTGCTGTTAACATGTGTCGCAACGCGGCGCAACTCTGGGATGCACTGCCGCGCCTGCACGTACAGCGTCCGTAGGTCGCTACACTGCTGCATTGGTGCGCCATCGACTTCGAAAGGCGCTGGGCCAAGCTGCTCCAAGTCCAAATTGGCATGTGCGGCAGACCAATGCATGGCCTGATTGATGGTATTGGCAACCTGCTCGCGGTGCTGGTAGAGCAACTGCTGGACACGCCGCATTGCCAACGTTGTCTTGATAACGGCAATGGCAGCCAGAAGCATGATGAACATAACGATGCCCAGTTCGGCCCACTGACTTGACTGCACCAGGTGGGCAGCTGCGCACCCAGCGAAAGCGACACCGATGACGACTCCTACCGTAAGGCGCTCGCTCTCGAGAGCGCCAGTGACCCCAACCAGCAGAAGCAGCGCCATCACGCTGCCGCCCGTCTGAACTCGCTGCCATGCAGGGCAGAATATCGACATCCAGCGGTGTTTCCAGCAATACCCGCTTTCGCTCGCATGGTAGACTGCGCAGCTGGTGCAACCACAAGGGTATGGTGAGGTGTGGGCGTCGCTGTCGCCACCCACAGACAGTTCTATTTCGTCAGCACCGTGAGACCAAAACAGCTGAGCTGATACCGCTGGACACTTGGCAGACATGGCTGCATCGCGCGCCCGGGGAACGCTCCCTCCCCAAATACGTCCTGCGACTCCAACGGGATTCCGGGATGCCTGAAGCAGCGCTGGTGCGGTGTTGAAGACGCGCTGGAGGCCGTACGGGAGCGAGGTGCAGTTGTACAGATCGATCCACGTATCGCGCAGGCTGCGCGACTCTGCCAAGCCTGTTGCCAACTCGTCGACGTCCTGAAGCTTCGCGCAGCTGGCGAGATTGAGGGTCAAGCTCTTCAAGCTTGCGAGGCCAGCTACCGTCTGTCCTAGGCCGCGGACTGACTGCAGGCCCTGGCAGCCAGCTAGCGACAGCACAAGCTCCCGCAGATCGACTAGACCAGCGAGGCCGAGGCAGAGCTCCTCAACGTCGGAGATGCTGCCGCAGCCCGCGAAACTGAGCTCCACGGAAATCAAGCGCGGGGCCACCTGTACCATGAACCGGAAGCCCTCGAGCGTGCTCAACGGAGTCCAGCTGGCATCCACCGCAAGGCTCTCAAGCTGGGCCGGGAGCGAATAGATGAAGTCGTGCACACTCTGGTCGGAGAGGCAGTAGCAGCCTGCAAAAGAGACGTTCACGCCCCTGCGGCCAATGTCCTTATGCAGGGCGTCAGACATCAGATGGTCCCATGCGTTCTGCTCCAGCACGGTGCGCCAGCATGCCAGAGCGAAGACTGCTTTCACTCGCGCGTTGAAGGCAGCAAACTGAACCTGGGCGCCATCATTGGTCGCCTCTGGGTCTGGCAGCATCGCCGCGATGGCACTGAGAATGCACACCTTGTCCTCGGGCCGGCTCGTGCGAGTCGACGCCAAGTCGAGACTGCCTTGCAACAAACACTGCTCCATGATTAGTTTGATTGAAAATCCGCGCTCACGCCGACCCTTGCTCCAGCCCGCCACGGTGGGAAAGAGGAGTTTCTCGCTGTCGGTGAGGCCATCCGTGATCACCTCCACCCAAGCCTTGTCACTTGCAGCCACGTCCAACAATAGCGGAGGTCTCTCCTCCATACCCCAGGTCATTGACGTGGCCATCCAGAGTTCCCAGCAGCACCAAGTACGCTGGAAAGGCTTCGAGTGTTCGTCGAGAACCAGGAGTATCCCGACGCTCTTCGACATTGCACTCTGCAAGACGCGGTGCTCCGATTCTGCGGTGGCTTCGATGGTAGGGGCATGAAAATTATGCGCGAAAATCCACACCCAAAACAAGCAGTTATCCATAGAACCGCGAACCTCAGCGTGGCGGCACACGCAATCCACGAACGCAGGCACGCCCTGGGCGAAGGCGTGCGACACATACCATGACGGTCTCTGCATATCGGCTGAACGCATAGTGTGTTCAGCAAAACTGCAAGATCTCAGCGCTGTGGATGGCTTCACGACCCAGTCAAGCAGCTGGTAGAAATCCATGTTCCCATATGCGATGGGTGATCCATCATCCGTGAACCACGCCTCCTGCCCCTCCTTGAGGTGCGCCCGCAAGAAGTCCGACAAGTCCCTCAACTGACGCGCAGTGACTCCCCTGCGCTCCACTGCGATTGGGCCCATAGATCCGCTGTCCCTCGTCAGCTCCGAGTAATTGGTCATCATAAGCTTGGACCCATGAGGCACACTGACAACCAGATCCGAGTCCGCCAGCCGTGTGGGCCCGCTCGACATCAAGAGCTGCCCCAGGGCCGTGGGGCTCACGTCTGGGTAGTGACCGTTCGCTCCTTCCAAATACCGCAGCGCTGTCTGCTTCGCGTCGGACACGGTTGTGCCGCTGGCCACGCGCAGAGTGACCTCTGAACGGCCTGGGAGATGCAACACCCTGTCCTCCGCGCCTTGGCACGCGGTGTCCTCCAGAGTCTCCAGGATCGGCATGTCCACGACTGGTGCATTGGTTTGTGGCAGCGCTGGTGCCGGTGGCGGCGCTAACGTCGGCGGACTGCGCTGCCCCAGGCGAGAGTCGAGGCTCAGACCTGAGGAGAAATGATAAGGGGGACGGCCTCGGATCGGCAACATGTATATATATATATATATATATGTATACATATATACATTTTGTATATCACCGATAGATCGGCGATAGGCGATCGGCTCTCAATTAGGGGAACGAAGAATGACATAAACATAAACACTCGATGTCCGCGCGGATTTCTCGGATCGGCGCTGAACCCCCCTCCCTGGCGCGCGGAGCGCGCCAGGGGCGGTGCCGGAGGCGCCGCCAGGGGGGTCCAGACCCCTGTCAAAACCCCCCACGCCCTGGACCTGGCACACTGGCACATCCCTAAAGCTAGCCTGAACCCGCCCCTGTCGACATTGCGCCAAAGCCAATCTGACCCATGATAGCCAACCTGACCAACGGCTCGACGACACCAGCGTGTCACGCGCGAGTTGAAGCAAATGATGCACCAGAACGGAGCGACACAGCGACACGCAATGCAAGAGTACCAACTATATCGCTGATCCGTCCTCGGCTTCAACGAAAAATGTGGCCAGCGCTGGGGCGGAAGCAATATTTACAATCCTGGATGTGGCCGGCGCTGAGGCGAGAGCAGCACTCGCAAACATGTCTGTAGCTGGCGCTGAGGCGAGAGTAACCAGCGTAGTCGTGGATGAGCTGGCGCTGCGGCGAGAGTGACGTTCGCAATCATGGATGCGGCCGGCGCTGAGGCGAGCAGTGTTCGCTAGCGCTGGGACGACAGCAAACTTCGCAATCATGGATGTGGTTGGGCTGAGGCCAGAACAACAGTCGCAATCGTGGATGTGGCAGGCGCTGAGGCTAAGGCATCCGTCGTGATCGTGGGCGAGGTGTCCCACTGCACACGCGCACCAGCTCTAGCACCACCAGCAGCAACACCGAGACGAACACTATCAGAAACAGCAGCCCCATGCGCAGCAGCAGCAGCAGCAGCGCAGCAATCAGCAGTAGCACGAGCAGCACAAGCGACACCAGCACTACCTCTTGACCAGCACGACAGCAAGCAGCACCATCGCGCGCACCAACACTACCAACACTTGCAGCACCAATGTGACGACCATAACAGGAAGCAACAACAACACGCGATGCAGCACAAGCGCCACCATCAGCATCAATGAGACCACAAAGGCAGCAAGCAGCAGCACAAAGCGCAGCAGCACCAGCGCCACAAGCAGTACCACTGTGACGAGCACGAGGAGAAGCAGCAGCGCTACACGAAACGGCACAAGCACCACCAGCAATGCCAGTGTGACCAAAACCACGACGGGAAGCAGCAACACTACGCGCACCAGCGCAAGTTCAACGAACAGTACCACTGTGACCAGTACGGGAAGCAGCAGCACCACGCGAAGTAGCACAAGCGCCACCAGCAGTTCCACAGGCGCTGGCTGCTCACACCTCGCACTGCAGCCCCCGCGCACTGGCAGAGACGCGCAGCACGACCCACAAATCGTCGGTCGTGCAGCAGCAGCACGAGCGAAACGAGCAGTTCCACACTGACCAGCCTGACAAGAAGCAGCAGCACCACCAGCGCCACCATCAGCACAGCGGTGAGTAGCAAGCCAGAGGCTAGCACCACTGCGCGCAGCAGCAACAGTGCCACCAGCAGTACCACTCTGCCGGGGACTGCCAGAAGCAGCAGTACTACGCGCAGCAACATCAACGCCACCAGCACCAATACTTGGAGCAGCACAAACGCAATCCGTGGAACCTGTGTGACCAACACGACAGCAAATAGCACCACACGCGAAGCAGCACCGGCGCCACCAGCAGCACCACTGTGACGAGCACCACGGGAAGCCGCAGCACGACCCGTTGCAGCACCAGCGCAACCAGCGGTACCGCTGTGACCAGCACAACTGAAACAGTAGCACCATGCGCACCAGCTCTAGCCCAATCAGGAAAAGAATATGGCGAGCACTACACCACGCGAAATGGTTAAGACATCATGGGTTAAGAAATTCATGGTCTCGCGCCGGCAGGTTTCTTAATTATAATTAAGAAATATCGAGGGTCTGGCCCGGGGGCTCGGTATGTGCATGAATGAGGGCCCGAGCCCAACCCAAGTGGGGCCCGAGCCGAATCCAAGTGGGGCCCAAGTGGGGCCCGAGCCCAACCCAAGTGGGGCCCGAGCCGAATCCAAGTGGTGCCCAAGTGGGGCCCGAGCCGAATCCAAGTGGGGCCCAAGTGGGGCCCGAGCCCCATCCAAGTGGGGCCTGTGCCGGATCCAAGTGGGGCCCAAGTGGGGCCCGAGCCGAATCCAAGTGGGGCCCAAGTGGCGCCCGAGCCCAACCCAAGTGGGGCCCGAGCCGAATCCAAGTGGGGCCCGAGCCCAACCCAAGTGGGGCCCGAGCCGAATCCAAGTGGGGCCCAAGTGGGGCCCGAGCCGAATCCAAGTGGGGCCCAAGTGGGGCCCGAGCCCCCTCAAAATGGGGCCCGAGCCGAATCCAAGTGGGGCACAAGTGGGGTCCGAGCAAAATCCAAGTGGGGTCCAAGTGGGGCCCGAGCCCCCTCCAAGTGGGGCCCGAGCCGAATCCAAGTGGGGCCCAAGTGGGGCCCGAGCCGAATGCAAGTGGGGCCCAAGTGGGGCCCGAGCCCCCTCCAAGTGGGGCCCGAGCCGAATCCAAGTGGGGCCCAAGTGGGGCCCGAGCCGAATCCAAGTGGGGCCCAAGTGGGGCCCGAGCCCCCTCCAAGTGGGGCCCGAGCCGAATCCAAGTGGGGCCCAAGTGGGGCCCGAGCCGAATCCAAGTGGGGCCCAAGTGGGGCCAGCCCCCTCCAAGTGGGGCCCGAGCCGAATCCAAGTGGGGCCCGAGCCGAATCCAAGTGGGGCCCAAGTGGGGCCCGAGCCCCAAGTGGGGCCCGAGCCGAATCCAAGTGGGGCCCAAGTGGGGCCCGAGCCGAATCCCAAGTGGGGCCCAAGTGGGGCCCGAGCCGAATCCAAGTGGGGCCCAAGAGCCGAATCCAAGTGGGGCCCGAGCCGAATCCAAGTGGGGCCCAAGTGGCGCCCGAGCCGAATCCAAGTGGGGCCCAAGTGGGGCCCGAGCCCCTTCCAAGTGGGGCCCGAGCCGAATCCAAGTGGGGCCCAAGTAGGGCCCGAGCCGAATCCAAGTGGGGCCCAAGTGGGGCCCGAGCCCCCTCCAAGTTGGGCCCGAGCCGAATCCAAGTGGGGCCCAAGTGGGGCCCGAGCCGAATCCAAGTGGGGCCCAAGTGGGGCCCGAGCCCCCTCCAAGTGGGGCCCGAGCCGAATCCAAGTGGGGCCCAAGAAGGGCCCGAGCCGAAGCCAAGTGGGGCCCAAGTGGGGCCCGAGCCCCCTCCAAGTGGGGCCGGAGCCGAATCCAAGTGGGGCCCAAGTGGGCGCCCACACGACCCCAAGAAGGCATTAAGCTTAAGAAAGTTCCCCAGGGTCTGGCCAGCGCCGGTGGTTTCTTCAGCCGTGTGTCTGGGACAAGAAATTTCGAGACTCTGGCTGCAAAACTGTGTTTTCTTAAACATCGAGCGTGGTGTACAGTTATCGGCAGCACCACGCGCAGAAGCAGCACCGCCACCACTAGCAGTAGCGCGACCAGCACAAGCGACACCAGTAGTAGCCCTGCGGTCAGCACGGCAGAAACTAGCACAACCACGCGAACCAGTACTAGCAGCACTAGGAGTTCCAGTCTGAAGACCGCGGCGGGCAGCATCAGCGCCACCAGCAACACCACTGTGACCAGCACGACTTCAAGCAGCGGCACGAAGCGCACCAGCACCAGCGCCACCAGCAGTACTACTGTGACGAGCACGAGGAGAAGCAGCAGCAGTACGCGAAGCAGCACAAGCGCCACCAGCAGTGCCGGTGTGACCACCACCACGGGGAGCTGCAAAGCTACGCGCACCAGCGCAAGCGCAACGAGCAGTACCACTGCGACGAGCCAGGCAATATCAAGCACCAAAGCGCAGCAGTAACACCAGCGCCATCAGCACCAGCACTGTGACCAGCACGACGGGAAGTAGCAGCAGCACGCGAAGCAGCACAATCGCCATCAGCAGTTCCAGTGGAGCTAGCACGACGGGAAGCAGCAGTGCCAGGCGATTCGCGCTGGAGTGCGCGAGCGCCCCTAACCCCCCGCCGGTCAAGCCGGCGGGGGGGAGGCGCCTCCGCACTCCAGCGCAAAGCGTCACGGCCCAGATTCCAGGACACCCAGGACGCCCCACAGCAGAGATGCGCAGGGCTAGCCGCAACGCGCGTCGGGCGCGCAGTGCGCAGCAGGAGCAGCGCGAGCGCAACGAGCAATTCCACTGTGACCAGCACAACAGGAAGCATCACCACCGCTCGCAGCAGCACCAGCGCCTCCAGCAATGCATCTGTGAGCAGCAAGACAGAGAACAGCACCACTACGCGCAACAGCACAAGCGCAACCAGCAGCACCAGTGCGACCAGCACGACAGGAATCAGCAGCGCCAGTAGCAGCAGCCGCAGCAGCGGCAGCATCAGCGCCACCAGCAGCAGTGCAATAATGTGACCAGCACCAGCGCCAGGTGGTGCACCTCTGACGGCAGCAGGCAGCAGCACCACGCGCACCAGCACCAGCGCCATAATATGAAGCATTGTGACGAACGCGACGGAAAGCAGCAGCACCACACGCAGCACTACTAGCGCAACAGATAGCACCAGCGCGACGAACACGTCAGGAAGCAGCAGCACTACGTTCACCAGCACTAGCGCAACCCGCAGCAGCACCACTGTGACCAGAGCAACGGTAACCAGCAGCATGAGCGTTACTAGCAATACCACTGCGACCAACACGACGGGGACCACCAGCACCAAACGCAACAGCACGAACGCCACAGGCAGCACAAGTGTGACAAGCAGGACGGGAAGCAGCACCACTACGCGCAGCACTACCAAAGCCACCAGCAGCACCACCGTGACCAGCAGGACGGGAAACAGCATCACTACGCGCACCAGCACAAGCGCTCCAAGCAGTACCAGTGCGACGAGCATCGCCAGAGGCAGCAGCACCACGCGAAGCAGCAGCACCAGCGCCTCCAGCAGCACCAGTGTGGCCAGCACGAAGGGAAGATCGCCTTAGCGGCCTCCGCAGGGGCAGTGCCGCAGAAATGTGTCCTGCTGCGTAGCTGCGCCGCTTGGGATGACACCACCAAGCCCGGCTGCACAGCCACGCGACCACTGAAACACAGTCGTACACACAAGGCGGGAGGGCGGGGAAACAAAACCCACGAGAACAGCCACAAGCGCCCTCGGCGCTGCGACCCTGAGGCGCCGTGCCGAACGCCTTGCTTCCCTGCTGCCGAGCAGGGGGCTGCCTGCCGGCGGCCCGGGCCGCACGGCCCAGACACTCTCCCTGGCAGCGGGCAGGAAGCGCCCTCCACCGGCCAAGGGCAGCCGGGGCCAGACGGACAGGGACGGACAAGACGAACATGACGACGGCACGACGAAGGCCAGCAGCAGCGGCACAGGGCAGCACAACCGCAGCCGGCCCGTTGGAGGCAAGGCTGGGAGTGAGTCTGGAATCTGAAACGCCCCTCTTCGGCTGAAGCCCCTCGTCAATTTTCCAACCCGCGATACTGCAACTGCTGCGCCATGTCAGGGTTCAGAAGCCGCAGCAACACGAGCAACACTACCAAAGCCATCGGCAGCACAAGTGCGACCAGCCCGAAGGGAATCAGCAGCAAGGCGCGCACCTGCAAAGGCACAACGAGTGGTGAGCACGACGCGAAACGACAGCAGACGCGCAGCACTCCCAGCGGCACCAGCAGCACACCAGCGTGACCAACACTGCGGTAGCCGGCAGCACACCGCGCAGCGACACGAGCGCCACATCGGCGCGAAACCGGCCGCGGATGGAGCCGCGATACAGGAGCTCGCGCAGCCCACAGGCCTGCGAGGCTGCGCCTGACCCTGTGGCGAGAACGGCGTTGCGCAGTCAAGGGTGCGGCTGGCGCCGAGGCGGCGGAGGCGACAACACCACTCGCAGTCGTATTGTCGGCCAGCGCCAGGCGAGAGCGCAGCCACAGCGCTGAGGCGAGAGCACACATCGCAGTGGTGCGCGCGGTCGGCGCCCTGGGCGAGCGCAGCAGTCCGAGTCGAGAGTGCGGCCCGCGCGGAGGCTAGGACCACCATCGCAGTCGTGCGTGCGGCTGGCGCCTAGGCGAAAGCGCCGTTTTCAACCAGACATGTGGCCAGTGCCACAGGGAGAACGAAATGCTGCATGAAGGATGTGGCTGGCGCCTGGGCGACAACAACATTTCCAATCGGATATGTAAGGGGTGCCAAGACGAGACCGACATGCTCAATGAAGGATGTTGCCAGCGCCTAGGCGACAGCAACGTGTTCAATCAGAGATGTGGCGGGCGCCAAGACGAGAACAACATGCTAAATGAAGGATGTCGCCAGCGCCTAGGCGATAGCAACATGTTCAATCAGACATGTGGCCGGCGCCAGAGCAAGAATTAAACGCCATGCTCGATGAAAGATGTCACTGGAATCTAGGCGACAGCCACGTATCCAAACAGACATGTGACTGGTGCCACGGCCAGAACGACATGCTTAATGAACGGTGTCGCCAGCGCCGAGGCGACAGCAACATTTTCAATGATAGAAGTGGCGGGCGCCAAGGCGAGAACGACATGCTCAATGAAGGCCGTCGCCTGCGCCTGAGTGACAATAATATTTTCAATCAGACATGTGGCCCACGCACAAGGTGGAGCTTCATTTCGAGACAAGCGTCTTGACAGAATGCCGGTGTCACGCCCACTTCGAGTGGGCCAGGCTCGGTGTCACTGAGATCTGGGTGACGTTAGGTGGGTAGCCCGCGTTAGAAGGAGGTGGCGGCAACGAAACCACACGGACCCAGGCTTGGTGGGCCATCAGGCGCATCGACGATCATTGGGCGTTTGGGGCTCAATGCGTTCTCCCCTGAGCCTATCCCGCCCTGACGTTAGAGAAGAAACAGCTGCGTAAACATAAACTTTCGGAGCTCCGGAAATTTTTGTTTTGGCATTTGTTCTTCTTCGAAACGTTGCCCCTGAAGACCTGCATCCTCGAGGGCACTCATGCCAGACTCCCCGATCATGTTGCCGCACAAGTTCAACTCGAAAGGGCCATTCCTCCCGAGGTGTCCGGCCCGGACAGCGCCGGCCAGCGCCTCGGCGCCCGAGTCCCCGACGCGATTGCAGGTGAGCACCAGCTTCTCCACGCCACCGAGGAAGCCCTCTGACGATGCGCACGCCAGCGCCTGCGCGCCCACATTGCCCACAAGGTTGTCGAACAGCTGCAGCTCCCGCAGCTCTGCGAGAGCGCCGTGCGACGCAGCCGCTGCCAGGGCTGTCACCCCAGCATCGCAGACGCCAGTCGAGCGCAAGTCGAGAATTGCGATGGCTGCGAAGGCACCCGCGAGGGTCGCATCCGCAAGCGCTTCCACGCCTTCATCCCCCAAGACATTGTCGTGAAGGACGAGCTCGATCAACGACGGAAGGAACTGCCCGTCCCGATTGCGGCACAGCGCCTGCATCGCCTCGCCTGTGATCCCCACTCGGTTGAGCCGTAGCGACACCATCTTTGAGCAGTACTGCAAGCACCCTCCCAGGTAGAGAGCGTCCTGACGCGTAAGAGCCATCATCGGCGACATGCCGCTATTACCGAAGTCCATCTCGCGGGTACAGCCGAGCATAGCCTCGCTCTGCTTGCGGTAAACCTGCTTCACCACACGGAAGTCTGAGCCATTCGTGAATGTCTTCGACTCCACGAGCTTGTCGAAGTCGTCTGGCCCAACGGGCCATCTGCGCGCGGCAGCTACCGCCGAACCCTGGCCGAGATCAGTGACAGCGGGCCACTGCACATCCCATCGCCTTCCCTTCTTGATCAGCTCCGACGAGCACCGCTCGAATGTGGGCCAGCCGGAGGCGTCGTAACCGAACGGCCGGGTGCTGCCTCGCTCGCGCGGGTGCTGCGTAAGCAGCAAGACCGTCGTGGCAGAGTGGGAGTACCAGAGGTCCATGGTCTGGGTTAGCGCGTACACGAACGCTGCCTGCTCGTCCTCGGTGCGGAACGCTTTCCAACTCTCCTTTTCGGCCTCCTCTTCCGAAATTCCCTGGGCCAGCAGCTCCTTCTTCTTCGCTTGCTTCTTGTCAGGGTCGCCTTGAAGCAAGGAAGGGAAGTCCCAAAACACCCCCAACTCCTCGAAGCCTCCGAATGACCGGCCTGGTTGCCGGTAAACCAGCTGCTGGCTCCGCAATGCCTCACACACTTGGTTGAGCTGGATGCCGTTCGGATCAGGATCTGCTGCCGTGTCCCAACAGAACGAAATTGTGATAATAGGTAGTGCACGATCCCGGCCACCGCAACCACCTGCCTGCCAGATTGTGCGGAGCTCCTGGGCGCTCAAGAAGGCCTCTTCTGGACACTCCTGCCTTTTTCTCAATCTGCCGCCTGCTTGTTGGAGCAACCACGACATGCGGACAAGCCGCACAGGATGATACCCACCCACTTCTTTCGCCAGCGCCTCGAAGATGGGCTCCGCGTCGTAGTATCGCGAATCACCATCGACTCCAGCTGTGGAGGTGAAGGGCACGCTCCTGGGGCCAATCCCTTTCGGCTTGCTTATACGACACCCCATCGCGGCGTGCCGCTATGGTACAGTGTGCGAGAGAGCCTGAAAGGGTGAGTCTGACTGTGAGTGGAACGGCCACAAGTGCATGGATCAAAAAATATCAGCCCCTACGCCGAAGGCCTACCCCGAACGAAGGGCACTCCGAGGTGGAGAATCCAAGCACGAAGAGTCTAAGGGTATCCCACACAAGGTTGGGTTGTTCTTGACACTCGTGCCAGATGTACCAGGCAGGCGGCATCGCGCGCCCCAGAAATCCACCAGAGCCCGAAGACGCGCACGGACGCCGGGGGTGTGAGGCGCGGGAGTGGCAAGTGGGCCATCGCTGGGCCTGCGGACCTGGTCACCTTCACTGTGGGGCACTGAACGGAGTGCCTTCAGGTCCTCACGAGTCCTCAATCCTGAACATGCTTCTCCCGACACATGTCCCGCTCTCCACATCCTGCTCCTCCTCGTCCACCTCGTCCTGAACTTCAGTCCTTCCTCGTCTCCCTATCCCTTTCTCTCATCCTATTCCTCCTGCTCCACCTGCTCCTATTCCTCCTCCTCCTCGTCCTCCTCCTTCTCCTCTTCCTCCTCCTCCTCCTTGATCATCATCATCACCACCACCATCAGCATCATCATCATAATCAGCATCATCAGCATCATCAGCATCATCGGCAACATCAGCATTATCATCGACATCAGCATCAGTATCATCACCATAATCATCGTCATCAGCATCAGCATCAGCATCAGCATCATGATCATCATCATCATCATCATCATAATCATCATCATCATCATCATCATCATCATCATCATCATCATCATCATCATCATCATCATCATCATCATCGTCAACATCATCATCAGCATCAGCATCATCATCATCATCATCAGCATCAGCATCAGCATCAGCATCATCATCATAATCATCATCATCATGATAATCAGCATCATCCTCGTCGTCGTCCCCATCATCATCGTCATCATCCTCATCATCGTCATCATCATCATCAACATCATCAGCATCAGCATCATCATTCATCACCACCACCATCATCATCATCATCATCATCATCATCATCATCATCATCATCATGGTCATCATCAACATCATCAGCATCATCAGCATTATCCCTTCCCCTCCTCCCTCCCCCTCCCCGCGCGCCCCGTTGCTTTTCCATCAGTATTATTGTCACTGGTAGCGAATTCGACATCTTCGTCCTCGTCCTCATCCCCCTCCTGTTCATTGTTATCAGCATCACCACCACGACCATCATCATCCACATCCCCATCTTCCTCGTCAGTATCATCATCAGTCGCACCATTCTCGTATTACCAGCATCACCATCAACATCACCACCACCACCACCACCATCATCGCCGTCATCATCGGATTCATAAACTTAATCGGGTTGATCATCCTCCTCCCCATCGTCATCCTCAAACTCCTCCTTCTTCTCCTCCTCGTCACCGTCATCACCAACACCACCACCATCAGCATCATCAACATCATCATCTGCAATAGTATCACAATCACCATCACCGTTATTATCACCAAAGACAATAACATTATCCTCGTCGGCATCGTCGTCGTTCTCGTCGCCTTCGTCATCGTCGTGGTCGTCGTGTCGTCGTGGTACGTGTGGCTACTACGGGCCTTGCTTCCCTTGTGAAGTGACCACCGCCATTGTCGTCGTCACCTCCTTCACCACCACCACCACCACCATCATCATCATCATCATCATCACCCACCATATCATCGTCATCATCATCAACATCATCATCATCACCACCGCCACCATCATAATCATGATCATCATCAGCATCATCATCGTCGTCGACATCGTCATCGTCATCGTCATCATCATCAGCTTTAGCATCACCATCACCATCAGCAGCATCAGCATCACCAACACCATCAACAGGTCAGCACCAGCATCAGCAACAGCACCAGCACCATCATCATCAGCAGCAGCATCATCATCGTCATCATCGTCATCATAGTCGTCGTCAACATCATAATCGTCGTCCTCATCCTCCTCAGCCTCATCCTCCTCTTCATCCTCCTCCTTCTCCTCTCCCTCCGCCTCCTTCTCCTCATCACCCGCCTTCTCATCCTCCTCCTCCTCCGACACCACCTCCCTCCCGTGCTAATGTTCATCCTCTTCCCCCACTGCCTCCGCCCTGTCTGCCCCCCCAAACTTCACACTCACGACCCACCTTTTCGTAAATTTCTTTCTCCAACGTACCCTCACCGCCCTCCCTGCCCTACTACTCAACGCACGTCACTTCATGATCGGCAAGCTCCTCATCCGCCTCACCGTATGAGCGTTGTCAGTATTCCTCATCTTCGTCCCTCTCATTAAGCTTTGCATGTCACCCTTGGGTGTATTACAAGCCCTCCTCATCTTTATAAGAATCCTCCACCACCTCCTCCTCCTCCTCCTCCTTCTCCTCCTCCTACTCATCATCATCACCACCAGCAGCAGCACCACCACCACCACCATCATCATCATCATCATCATCATCATCAACATCATCACCATCATCAATCATCTTCATCATCATCGCAATCGTCATCATCATCATCATCATCATCATCATCATCATCATCATCATCATCATCATCATCATCATCATCATCATCATCTGCACCAGCATCACAACCATCAATCATCAACAACACCGTCGTCGCCATCGATGTCGTCTTCGTCTTCGTCGTCGTCGCGGTCGTCGTCGTGGTGCGTGTTGCTACGGTCGGGACTTGCTTCCCTTGTGCAATGACCACAACCATTGTCGTCGTCATCATAGTGGTCGCCATCATCATCATAATCAGAATCATCATCAGCAGCATCATTATCATCACCATCATCATAATCAGACTCATCATCATTATCATCATCCTTATCGTCGTCATCATCATCATCATCGTCATCGTCATCGTCATCGTCATCATCACCATCACCATCATCGTCATTACATCAGCACCAGTGCCAACAACAGACCCATCAGCATCACCGTCACCACCACCAAGATTGTCACCAACAGCATAACACTCGTCAACAAGATAACAATCGCCAGAATCAGCTATATCGTCATCGATGAAATCCTTCATCCTTCTCCTCCTCCTTCTCCTCCTCCTCTTCCTTCTCCTTCCCAGATTTAACCCCTTCTTGTCGCACCCCGAGACGAGTCGACAAGGCGGGCCCGGCGTTTCGCCTGAGACTTCACCATGTCAATCCTGCAGCTGAAAGACTTTGTATCGGCCTCACGGATTAACGGCGGGTGTTGTTCCAAATGTGGCTCTTCCAAATGTGGCCCTCGCCTCAGCGCCGTGCGCACTCGTCTCAAAATGGTGTAACAACTTCACGTATGGGGGGCGGGTGGTTTTCAAAATGTGGTTTTCGCCTCAGCGCCACGCCCATTCATCTTCAAAATTTGCACTGGCTTCGCGGGGACAGGGCGGCTCCTTTTTTCAAAATGTTGTTACCGCCTTAGCGCCGCGCGCATTCGTTCGCAGAATTATGCACGGATGGAGGGTGGTTCTTTTTCAAATGCGGTTCTCGCCTCAACGCCGCGCACACTCGTCTCGACGGTAATTAAGATTGGCGTCCCAATAATGGCGTTCGGGCACAGTTTAGGATTGTCCGGGCGCGACACTCAAGTGAATTCGCGGCGTTGAAGTCCCAGGAGTTATGTTTTTGCATGGTTCAGGATCGCCAGGACGCAACAGTGAAGTTGATTCGCGACGTTGAAATCCCAAGGGTTGCGTTTTTCCCAAAATTTGTGCCAACCCAAGATTCGCCGATTCCCGTAGAGTGCGTTGGCCCAGGGTTCTCTCTGAAATGTGTTAACCCCTTGGTTTCACCTTGAAAAACTCGCTAAAACCCCATCCCAGAAAGGGCGCGAACCCAGGGTTCTAACACCGCGTGGCATGTTGGGCAAAGGGCCTGCTACGCGTTCTGAAACATGTGTCTCAAGCGTGCCAGTTCGAGGACAATGCGCCCCCCCATCTCGGATCATCGATAAATCAAAGGGTCCGCAGGCCCTCGTTCCCCTTCGCCTTCGAAGCTGAAAAGCAGAAACAAAAAAAAACTGTTATATATATATATATACATATATATGTTTATATATATATATATATATATTATATATATATATATATTATATATATTATATATATATATAAATAAATAAAAAAAAAAAAAAAAAAAAAAAAAAAAAAAAAAAAAAAAAAGAACTTATGCGGGGATTCTCTGATACATGGAAAAATGGATGCTCTTCAGGTTCGAAGAGAGAAGACAAAGCTTGACGTTTTGCGTGCCTGCGCGCGTCCTGCGAGAGGAAGTGTCGAGGATGTCCCAGGCGAAACGCTTCCTTTGCAAAACTTGAAAGGCTTCGGCGCCCAGGGATGCCCGGGTGCATCTGGGGGCGCGGGAACGCGCAAACACGCGCGGGCTCCTAACGCCTACGGCAACCTGATCCACAACCACGTGTTTTTGCGCGCCCAGGTCGCCCAGGCGGATCTCTAACATGAGATCGTCGGGCCCCCGCTGCTCGAGCTATGCGCGCAGGCAGCACGAGCTTAGCATCGAAATCAATTCGGCCGGAGGTCAGCCGACAAGGGCAAACTGATCCACGACGCAACGTCGACTGCAGACAGCTTTGCGCGATCGCGCGGTCAGGCCACTCGAGCTCATGATCCAAATCAGTCCTGTCCGGCTGCGGACGCCCATGGCGATCTGATCCACAGCGAAGCAGGATGCATCGCAGATCAACGCTGCACGACGCAGAGCCCTTGAGCGCAGCTCGGCGCAGCGCGGCACAACGCGGCGCAGCCCATGGCGCGGCACCGTCACCATCGACATCACCAACATTGCCACCCCCCCTTGCCCCCCCGGCCTTCCGCGCCGCACTTCCTCGCGCCCCCCCCCCCCCCCCCCAGCTCGAGGCAAGTGCCCCGCGGACCTCGGCGCGAGGCGCGCGCGCGCGGAAGAGCCCCGCGGCGCTTGCGCCCACAG